TAATGCATGAAAATCCTAACCTCAAAAAAATCACCCGTTATATATTTATAATTTTTTTGCTGGCGGTGTCACGCATTTTCTCCCATAGAAAGTATGTGCGACATTTTTTATATGGAAGAAAATGCCCAGCATCGGTTATAAAAAACTCCTAAAAATGAACGGTATTTTGTAACTGCATGAAACCTGCATTCTATCCTACTCTAATTTAATGGGCTATAAAACTGCGTTCCTCAAATTTTTCTAAAAATGCTGAGTAACAAGTTTGAAATTTTGGGAAATTTTTTTGCATTTTTATAATTTTTGCACAAATTTTGAAATGCGCATTTAAATGCAGTTAATTATATAAAAAATGATGTAGACTTTTATAAAAAAATGTAAACATTAAATAAAGAAAAGAAATGCAGACTAAACTGGTTGAAATAAGGCGTTTATTTATTTCTGCCACTAGTATTATGAACTTCTTTCAGGCACACAATAAATATGTTGAATTAATTTTTTTTTTGCATCGAGCTTTTTCGACATGCCTTAAGTTACTTTATCAGATATGTACACGCTAAAGTATTTTTAAATGCGTATAAATTTAATTACTGTCTTTTGTTTTGTTACTAATAAAATATTTTTCAACTTAAATAATAAAGTAGGTTTGAAACCCATTTATTCATTATTTATTATATGGTAGGACAGCTTCTCAAACTATATTGATGCAATTTTTTCATGTTAAGTTGTTGGAAAATAATGACCATCTTAATCCCGGGATTGTATGAACGATGTCACGAAAATCCCGGGATCGCAATAACCGAAAAAAAAAACATTCATTCTCCATGCGAGTTAATCGTAGCGCTTTCGGCAGAAGCAATACTTTGATATGAAACAAAATAGTTTTGAAAGCTAATGTTATTCCATTTCACAGAAAAATACTGCCGTTGACCCAAAACTACTCCTTGACCTTAAAAAAAATTTGTCAAAAATTGTGTTCTGCCAAACAACATGCAAAATCCAACGGATTTGTTCCAAAAAAAATTTTTTGTATGTATATAGATTTTGAGACCAGAAACACGATTCCACTGTGTCAAAATTAAAAAAAAAAAAACACACCTCAATTTAAGAAATGCATTTTTGATTGCATTTTTTTTATTTTATTTGCATGCAGCTGTGCATCCTTCTCACAATTTTATATCACTCGAATAACAAGTACGCTGTAGTGCTATTCAAAATCATTAATTTGAGCCATGGGGTAAATATTTAGGCCCTGTGAGAGCCAAGTTTAACAATTTTACACCAAACTTCGAATCTGCTGAACGAGTCTCTACTCTGAAATTAGAAGGAAAAAAATGCAAAAAAGTCGAAGGAAATTTCGAAGTTTAACTTCAGAATCATTATAATTTGGCTCTC